TCCTTCCTTCCTTCCTTCCTTCCTTCCTTCCTTCCTTCCTTCCTTCCTTCCTTCCTTCCTTCCTTCCTTCCTCCTTTCCTCCCTCCCTCCCTCCCTCCCTCGTCCAGGCAAGCCTTACTCTGACAGCTGGGCAGCTGAGTGGAAGTACCTCTACTCTCTGAAGAGGAGCCACCCAAATGAGGGCCGCTTCGTCTTCCTGCCTGCTCCCTCTGCTCAGTACGGAGGCTGGGAAATGGGCGCGTTGAGGATTTCTGCCAACGACTCTTCCGAAGGGCAGCCGTGAGTATCCCAGGCGTTTCTGGGAAGGCACGTCGATGCCCTCTCGACCACGACCGGCAAGCAGGGGGGGGGAACAGGGGGGGAAAAAGACACGGCTGGTGGTCCCCTTTTTCTCAAGCAGCCCCCCCCCCCCCGGTTAGCTCAGCTGATCGATCCCACTCAGGCGGCCCCTCCCGGTTCTTCCTGGTGAAGCCACTTCCCACCCGTGGGCCCCCCATCTTCCCTTCATCCAATAGGGGCCTCCTTTGAAGGGCTTCCTGGTCTGGAATCAGTCCTAAACCGGGTCAGGCCCAAGTAGTCTTTGGCTTGGGGACCTCCGGGAAAAACGGCAGAGAGTCCCCCCAGACTGGGAACTTCAAGGAATCTGGGAGGAAGAGCCGGCAACCCCCGGCCTCTTCTCCAGAGAGCAACAGGGAGGACTCCGGCGTCCCCACTAGATGAGGCTGAAAGGAGGGGCCACCAGCGCTGTTCTCCAAGACAAAACGGACCGAGTCCAAAATGCCCCTCCGTAGAAATGAGCTGCTCCTGTGAGCAGATTTGGCTGCCCACCTCGCGTCCTGGTGACTCTGCCAGCCCCTTTGAGTCTTCTCCCTCTGGTTCCCCCCCCCCCCACGCCAGGAACGTGGCCGCCATCTGGAGCACGGAGCACGCCATGGCCTGGCACCTGGAGGAGGCCTTCCGGAAGGACTCGGCTGCCTGGGCTGTGGCCAAGTGCCAGCAGTGGGACAGGAAGGAGGCCGACCTGCCCGGGTTTCTGGAGGAGATTCCCGACTGTCCCTGCACTTTGGCCCAAGCCCGGGCTGACTCCGGGCGCTTTCACGTAAGTCCCCGCTGCCCGGCCCAGAGAGGCTGCTTAAGGCAGGCGCCCTCCAGGCTGCCCGTCCAGGGGGCCTCCCAGGCCCTGAAAGGCAGGGCTGCCTGTGAAGGGCTCTGGGTCAAAGCAGGAGTGGGATGGGATGGTCAAACCCTGAGAACTGGGGGGGGGGGGGGGGGGGGGCGAGGGGGGTTTCCTAATGGCAAAAGCAGAGATGGAGAAGGCCCTGCAAAGGGTCCCCTTTGGGCTGGGGGAGGGGCCAGGCTCTCCGGGGGGGGCTCTCCTACCCCTGCCCCTCCCACTCTGGGAATGCTCTCCTGCCCCTTGGGTCACGTGAGGCAGCGGCTGGACGGGGGCCCAGATGGTGAGGCTGGCTCCTTATCAGCCGAGCAGGTGTTTCCTCTTGGCCCCTGCGGCTCCCTCCGCCCACCCGCGCCCACTCCAGGGCACGGCCTAAGAGTGCATGGCGGTGCAGAAGGGCCGTGGGTGCGCTAGAACTCTCCCCTCTTCCGCCTCCTGGTGGGAGCAAAAGGAAGGACCCGTTGACCTCCTCAAGGGACGGTGATTCTACAGGCAAAAGACCTGGGCAGGCAGTGAGCTGCAGAGAGCGAGCCTTGTGGAGGGTTGGGCAGGAGGTCGCCTGCCGCCCCCCCCCCCCATTCCTCTCCTCTTCCTCAGACGGTGCCAGGACTGCTGAAGGGCCCCCAGAGGTTTTGGGCACAGGAGGCGGGTTCACTTCCCTCTCCCAGTTTATTTCTTTGTCATGTTCATGGAGCCTCACCCGACTGGCATGGGGGTTGCCGCCTGCCCCAGCCTCTCGATGAGACGGGCAGCACAGAAATAATCTAATCTGAGCCGTAAATAAAATCACTACCCTGCCACAGGCCAGAGGCTGGTAAAGGGCACCACACCTTGGCACACGAGGAAGGAAGCTGGGCAGGGCCTCCCCCCCCCCCCGCAATCCTCTCCCCTGGCACCAAAGCAAATCGGCTCCAAGAAGAGAAGACGTGGGCAGGAGGAATGTTTCGTAGATGACTAAGCCGGCAGGTTTCGCAGGCTATCAAAACTCCTTCTTTGCATGCCGGGATTTTGGGCCGAAAGGCAACGCACAGCTACCCCAGCCGGGCCCAGGGATCAAGGCACCAGGCTAGAATCTGGGAGGCTGGGAGTTCCAGTCCCACCTTGGGCATCAAAGTTGCCGGGGGCAACCCTGGGCCAGCCACCCTCTCTGGGCCCAATCCACTTCACAAGGTTATGGAGGAGGAGGAGGAGGAAGTCTGTCGGTTGCCTTGAGAGACTCACAAAGTAACAAAGGTGGGATCCCAATGGAATAAAGAAATAAGCTATTACTCTAAAATCATCCCCAACAGCAGAAGACAGAGCCAGGGGACCAAAGGGGAGGGGGCACCCCACATCAGCTGGGAGGGTTGGGAGGCCCAGGGCCGATTTCTATGGATTGCTCCAGCAGGATCCGTGACCCACATCCGATGACAGCCAGTCCTAGCCTGCATAAAGTGTGTGTGGAGGGGGGGGGGCATTGCACTGCTCGGGTCCAGCTGAAGCCTCATCTGAAGGCCCTTCTGTGATGCGGGTGGGGGAGGCAAGTGAGGCAAGGGGGCACCCTGGCTGGCTCAGCATCCTCCAGGTGGTACGCTGGGCAGTGCCTTGGCCTGGAGCCTCCCCCACTCCCTGCCTGCCTGCCTTGGAAAGAGAGTCAGGGTCAGGTTAGGCGAGGGTTAAGGTGGCCGGCCCTGGCGGGAGGATTGGGCAATGCCACTTCTGGGAAAGAGTGGAGGAGGAACTGCTCTCACCCCCCCACCCCCCCCCGCAGCCACAGGGCAGGCTGCTCTGGAGAGGTTGCCTGAGGAAGGTTGTGCCAGTTACGCCCTGGGGGGGGGGGGCGGGGGAGGGAATTATCCGGGTACTCTACCACCCGAAGCAGGAAGGGGCCTTCCCTGGAGGGGGAGGAGGCAGCTGTGGGGTCCTTGGGGCTCTCTGAGCTCGCTGGGTTTCTTACAGGTGTTTCAGGACCCAAGTAGGGAACATCATCAGTGCTAGATGGGAGGGGGGCTTATGGAGAGGAGGAGGAGGGTTTTCTGCCATTTCTATGTGCCAATTGAACTTCAGCTTAATCAGCCCATCCAGGGTTTTGTCCCCCTTCCTTCTGCCGGATCCAATGTGGCTCAGGCCGCCCTGTTGCCAGACCTCTGAGAAAGGCAGGCAGAGGACAACAGATCCCATCCTCAGGTTCAGCGCCCCTTTGCCCCCTCTGCCCTCAGCTGCCCTGTTGGAGAAACGCCCCTTCCCTGCCCTGGCCTCTGGGGAGCCCCCCCACCCCACGGTCTGGAGGGCGAACAACCTGAAAGGACGCCCCTGGCCCTGCCCAGCCCCCCCCCCCCATGGTTCCCTTTGCCAGGGGTTTGGCGCTGGTGACGGAGGCTTCCAAGGTGGTGAATCTGGTGAACCTTTGGATGGAAGTTGTGGAAACGGCACAGCTGACCCGTTCGGTCAGAGGGAGAAAAGAGACAAAGACTTTTCCAAAGACTGGAAACCTTGTATGGACATTTGCTGGACATTCATATAACAAATTGATAAAAGCACGAGAGATAAAAATACAAAATATGAAATACAAATGTGTAAATTTATGTCCAGATGGCAAGTTTTCTTTCTTGTTTTGCTTCATGTCATAACCAGAAAAGCTTCAGTCTTTCTCACTCCCTCCTTCTGCTCCCCCCCCCTTTCTTTTGGCACTCTGATAGTTTGTATCTGTTGGATAGTTTGTTTCTCTCCCCCCCCCCCCCCAAACCAGGCCCTTTTTTGTATAAAGAAGCAAAGGCTGCAATGATGATAGACAGACTTGGGGAGTGGAAGGATTGAAAGGAAAAGGGAATTTCAGGGTAAGGAAATGAGGAGGAGGGTGGGGGGGAGTAACTCCTTGACAGAAAGAAGAGTGGAAAGTGTCCTTATATATATATATTTGTTTCCCCCCCCGCCCCCCAATCCTTTTCTAATCTTTGGATTCTTCTCACTTTGTGCTTTTATCACGGGGCAAGAGAGTCTGCTGTGAACAACTGAGCAGGAGTTCCGCCATCTCAGTGTTTGAGGGGCCTGGAAGGGAATCGGTGGAGCCCACAGAGCCACCGTTTTGCCAGGGATTTTGACCGACCTCGGTCTCTTCCTCCCATTGCAGACGGATTACGGGTGCGACCTAGAGAGAGGCAGCGTCTGCACCTATCACCCCGGGGCGGTTCACTGTGTCCGGAGTGTTCAGGCCAGGTGAGGCTCTTCTGCCCTCGGACCCTACGTCGCCCCCACACCCACCCGTCGTCACTTGGGGCGGGGCGCACACAAACACTGAAAACAATTCACGCCCCAAAAGTGTTGAAAAGGGGCGCGAAACTCCCGGCAGGCGAGGCGACCTCTGGGTCCGAGCTCTGCGCTGGGGAAGGCCGGATCTCCTCCGGAGCCTTCCTGGGGGCCCCCGACCCTCCCCGTCCTCCAAAGGCCTTCGGGCTTACGAGTCCTGACCGTTTCCCCTTCGCTTCTCCCGCAGCCCCCGGTACGGCGCGGGGCAGCAGTGCTGCTACAGCGTTTCCGGGGCCCAGGTGCTGACGGGGGACTCCATGGGGGGCAGCACCCCGGACCGAGGCCACGACTGGGGAGCCCCTCCCTACAAGAAGCCCCCCCGCATCCCGGGCTTCTCCCACTGGCTCTACGACGTCCTCAGCTTCTACTACTGCTGCCTCTGGTCCGACCGCTGCGCCACTTATTTCAAGCACCGGCCCTCCAGCGGCTGCCAGAGATACCGGCCGCCCCGAGCCGGTAGGTTCTCTGCCTGGGCCGCCGCTCCCTCGGGCCAGACGGAGCTCCACTGAAGCAGGTCGCCTCTCCTGGGTTGGGTCCTGGCAGCCAGGAATCCCTGCACAGTCCGTTCCCTGAAGGGGGCTGGCTGGAGGGGCTGGCAGTCCTAGAGCCACGTCCGGAGAGACAGGACTTCGGGGGGAAACGTAGTGCAGGGAACCCCGAAGAAAGTCCAGCGGCCGCCTATCTCTCCCACACTAGGCGGGGGGTGGGGGGCTCCGATTGGATGAGAGGGAGGACGGAAGGCATCCGGCTGGGCTGAGCCTTCTCTCCACCGGTTCCCATGGGGGGGGGGGGGGGGACAGAGCCCGCCCAGGCACGCAGCGTTGGCCCCTAGCAAGAGCGGGCGGCGCGGGTGAGGGTGGGTGGAAACTCCCTCAAAGGCAGAACTGCCCTGGGAGGGAAAAGGAGGTCCCGCCTTCCTACTCTCTGCTCGGCTTTGTCTCTTTTTATGACAGCTTCGGCTTTTGGAGACCCCCACTTCATCACTTTCGACGGCCTCAATTTTACCTTCAAGGGCCTGGGGGAATATTTGGTGCTGGGATCCGAACGGACCAATTTGAGCGTCCAAGGGAGAACGCGTCGGGCTCAGCTGCTGAACGGAGAGCCAGGTGCAGCTCCCCTCCTTGGCTTCTGCCCCCCCCTCACCCTCTGGAGGATTCATTGGGGGGGGGCGGGAGTCAGCAGCCCTGGACTCTGCAAAAGAGCAACGGGTGGGGGGGACAGGCGCTCGTGTCCGTGTCCTGCCCCCCCCCCATAGAGGCCGATGTCCTAATGGTTTTAAGTGGGATGGGTGGGTTCCCTGGCTCCCCGCCCCCCCCAGCAAGACCTGCCAAGGGGGCCAAGAGCCCCAACCACTCTCCATTAGCTGATGGAGCAAGTTTTGGTCAAAGGGGTTTTAGCCTCCGGCCAAGGGCTTCCCTCACAACAGGCGTGTGGGTGGGTGGGTGGGACCTGCCTGGAGGGGGGTAGGAGAAATCCAGGACAAATGCAAGTTTGACTCCTCCCAGGGACTCTAAATTCCCAGTCAGATGCAGGATAGGGAAGGTCTCCCCCCCTCTTTTCCTTTCTTTCCTCCTTTCCCTCCATCCCTGCATTCCCCACTGGGATTGACATCTCTTCTCTACCAGGGAGGAGGAACTGAACCATCCCACTTACACACACACACACACACACTCCCCTTAAAAGGGGCCCTCCCGTCCTGAGCACCAGTTTACAATTTCCCTAAAAACTTCCTTCAAGGAGACCAGGGGGAAGGGGCTTTGGACAGAGAGTTGGGGTCGGTTCCTGCGCAACACCACAGGACCCCAACCCAAAGATCAATTCTCCCTTGCTGTCTGCCGTAGCCCAGGTGAGCTCAGAGCAGTGCTGGGGGGAGGCTGAGAGCTGGAAGGGGCCAGGCTACCTTACACACACACACACACCCCAGTGGTGTCCTCACCTCATTCAGTAGGGTGTCCCGCTAGCCTCCCTGGTTGCAGCTCAAACGTTTTGGATCCCACTGCTGACACCAATTGCCACGGAATCAAAGCACAGGACCCTCCAGCCCAGAGCACGGTGGCCTTTAAAATGTCTCCTGCAATAATCTTTCTGCGGCTTATCCCAAGCCAAGGGTTGGGGGTTGGGGCAAAGGGGCCAGGTGAAGTCCTTGGGGGGCGTTTGGGGGACCCCCATGGATCTGTTTGTGACTGCGCTGCCCGGCAGGAGCTGAAGCCAACGTGACCGGCCTGTCAGCGATCGCCATGCGGGAGAAGGACTCGGACGTGATTGAGGTTCGCATCCGAGAAAACTCCCACGAGTTGGAGGTCCTGCTGAATCAAAAGGCCCTCAATTTTTCTGAACAAACCTGGATGGACTTAAAAGGTAAGAGGAGGAGGAAGAGGAAGAGGAGGAGGAGGAGGGGGAGTACAGCAGTTAAGGAGGGGTGCAGGAGGGGGTGCAGTGAGAAGCCTTTTGTGTCAAGGCTAAAGGCGGCCATGCGCTCAAGAGAATCACAGAATCATAGAGTTGGAAGAGACCTAAGAGGCCATCAGGTTGAGCGTGATTTCCTTCTGGCATTTTTCTGGGGGGAGGGGGGCTCTGTTGACCTTTCTCAGCATGGAGCCCTTTAAAAGATGGGAGGGGTCTTCCGTTGGCAAAGAGGCCCTAGGACGAGGAAGAGGGGAGACCCCCTCCTCTCTCCCCCACTCTCTCCATTTTGAGTGCCCCCTTTTGCATTCTGCTGGCTGTCCCAGCTCTGGTCAGTCACTTGTTTCAGATGGTATAGGTTCTGCTTGAACAGGGGGCTGGACTAGAAGACCTCTAAGGTCCCTTCCTAGTCTATTCTGTTCTATTCTAAATGATGACACGGAGCAGCGCCACCTGGTGGCCAGAGCAGGATGGCTCCCAGGCAAGACTTTCCTCCCTTCCACTCCACTCCACTCCACTCCACTCCACTCCACTCCACTGCCGGCCGAGGAGGCTCAAGGGTTGCGGCGTGGAGTCGGTCTCTTCCCTGGCTCAGCATCTCCCCGGAGGACCTTCTGCGGAAGCCTCCCCTTGGCCCATCAAACGGAAGGAGGTTCTGCTCTGACTCTGAGCTGCTTTGAGCTGCAAAAGTTCATCCCTGAAATTAGGAACCGTCCGGGGGTTCCAGACGAGACCCCGGGCTCGAACCCCGGGGGGCTCCAGCGGGGTCGGGGGGGGGCCCTGCAGAGGGAGGCCCATCCCTGTTGAGGGGGATGACCCGGAGCTTGCAAGGCCTCCAACTTCGGAGGGAGGGGGCGGGAGGGGGTCCGGGACCCCCATGGGGAGCAGCCCTGCATTCTTGCCAGCCCCTCCGGCCTTGGGATTGCCGGGCTCTCCCCGTGTCTCCCCCTCCCAGGCCTCTTCCTCTACAGCAGCCCCGGGCACAACGTCACGGTCATGTTCTCCTCCGGAGCCGGTGTGGAAGTCGGTGGCCGTGGAGGGAAGGTGCTGAGCCTGACCGCTCTGCTGCCGGAGACCTTCCGGGGCCAGACGGACGGTCTCTTCGGGCTGATGAACGGCCGGCCACAGGACGACCTGACCCTTCCCAACGGAACAGCCCTGGGTGTGGCCAGCAGCGGCCCCCGGGAGCACTTCGCCTTCGGAGCAGAGTGTGAGTACGGCCCCTGCTGGGCAGGGAGAAAAGGGAACCACGCGGGGAGGATGGGCGGAGCTGGGCTTTGGTGTCCCCCCAGGGATGCCAGACAGCCAAAGGATCCCCTGCGTGTTTTCTGCAAAAGGAAGAGAATGTAAAACCGAATAAAAACACAAAAATGAAAGCAGGCAAATCCTGGGGCGCTTGGAAGTCAAAGTAAATGTATGCACCTCCGACAAATTTCTCAGGCCATTAAAAGAAGCAGCAGTTAAATATTATCCCAGCTGTGCTAATACGGCTCCTTCAGCTGTTTTTTTTTATATATAATTTTTTTATTTTTGAATAAACATAAACACAAACAAACCCCACAAAAATATCTTCCATTACAAATCGTAAAAAGTCTGTCAATTGGTTACAAAGAGCTTTCGTGCATCCCTTCCAAGTCATCACCTACAATTCATATCAAGTTATATATTTTAATTCAAATATATTCATATATATATTACTATCATCATACCTCAGTCTTCATATGACTATAAAATTGTTTTTAAGTCCCTTTATATAAAATATTCCAAAATTTAAAGCGAAACCACATGATGGCATTCTGTTATCTATTTTCAATATCATCCAGCAACAATTAAATCTTTATGACACTTTCTGAATAAAAATTAATTATGTTTAATAACAAAGTGTCTAAACTCCTTTCTTAATCACTGTTTATAATTTATATCCATTTTCCCTTTTATCTTGTCAATACAAATATTACATTATTATCATTATCAATCATTTATTTAACAATATCCGTCATCATTTCTTTTTTTTGTCTTAGTTTAACTAAATCTAACTTACTCTTTTTTTAATATTATAAGCTTTCATACATAACAGAGTTTCTAAACTTCCTTTCGTGATCACCATTTATTTATAACAAACTTCCTCTTATCAAACCAATACATATGTGAATTTTTTATAATTCTTAAATATAATAATATACCTCACTCATTGCTTGGAATTTATTCTTGTGAATAACAAGATCTATGGGATCTTGATTTCAGCTAATCCTCACCTTATGACTGTTGATTTAATGATAACTCAAGTTATAACAGTCTTGGAAATGTGACTTATGACCTGTACTCACACTTATGACCATTGCATCAACCTTGTGATCA